ACTATTTGCGAGTATATATATCTACAATTACCATTTACGTCACACGTACGTGTTATGTAACATGCGAGTGGAATATTGATCACGTCGATGGACGGGGAAACTCGGCTTGAATGTAAATCGATATTATACGTTGTAAAGGATTCGCTGATTCGGCATTTCGAGTGTTTTCAATTTGTTAAGTGGTTTTTCAATTGTGGACCATTTCGGAAATATATCCCATTTGTGCTTATAATGTATACTATATGCAATCCATCATTTCTCCAAGTATAAGTGTCCTTCCTATGGTTCTCGTCAAATATTCGTGTATACTTTTTACATTAAGGATTATCTACATCAGTAATTACTCGTACTAAATTCCATTTACAGACGAAAAAATAAAATCTCCCTGAAACGCTATCATAGTCAATTCGAGTGACTTGTTCCTCTTAGATAAAGTTTAAATCAAAGAGACAAAAAAAAAAAAAGATTTCAATTGGCAAAAGCAAACGAGAAGTACAACGTATTCTCATTTAAATATAGGCTCACTATTGCGTGTTCGTATACACTGTTAGTCTGTTTCACGTAGACGTGGAAATCGTAGATGCAGCGTCAATTAAAGTTTTCCCAGAAACCACACTGAATCGACGCACTAAAAAAATCTACGCGTGCCCATAACGTGCTTATGTATGCACTCGAGTGTCTAGTTTATACGTAGTATTTTTATTCAAACATGACCACCGAGAAAGCCCGCGGATAAAAATTTCGTACCAAAAATAACACGGGTTTACACGAATACCGTGTAGAGAATAGAAGAGTTCATTCACACACTTGTTTATTTTTATTTTTTCTTTGTTCTTTTGTGGAAAACAAAATTTAAACGACATTTTTGTGTATACCTATCCAGTATTGAAGCATCCCAGCATATCACTACTTTTGAAAATATCTCCATCAAAAAGTATTCGATAGTATCAAACAACTTATCTTGTACTGGTAGTGTCTTTCAGACATACAATAAATTAACTTAAAGAAAACTTATTTATTTATTNAAAGGGCAGTTGAGTTGTAAAAAATGGTGTGAGTGAAAGACGAAGGTGACAAATCCAACAAGAATAATTAAATTTGCTTTTTTGCTATTTTCTCGATCTAAGAGATGCAGAGATGCCTATTGCACGGAAAAAAGGAAAGGGAGACAGAAGGAGTATAATATATTTGAGTCAAATAAGGGGGTGCGATAAATCCATCGGCAGGAAATAAGCTTGCCAGTCGGCGATTTCCTCTCTTTACACCGACAGCCCAATTTTTTTTTTTTCTCTTTTCCGAGTTCGAATTCATTGGGACTCTCCCACCATCCTTTAGTCTTCCCCTTCTCGTTTATTTCACTATTTAAAGTAACATGGAGAAATCTGAGTTGCGCTTTTCTTGACATGCGAGCCAAAGGACTTTTTGAATATAGGAATCATTTCTGATTTGTTTTCCCAAGTTGGAAGCAATTTTTTTTATTTATTTTGAGTAATTAAATTTACGTTAACACTTTTCGTTTACAAAAGTTATTAAACTTTACAAAACCACGTTGGTCCGTCACAGATTGATGCCCATCGGCACAACGGGATCTGGAAAGAAAGCCTTCCTTTTTTTAGTTACATATTTATTTATTTATTTATTTATTTATTTATTTATTTATTTATTGAAACAAGGTGTAAGGGTTATCTTATTAGACTTACCGATTTTATTGAATTATCACAATAATTATTTATTATTTACTGAAACTGCGATTTAGTAATTGTAAGGATAGTTTAATGAAATTGAAAGAATTTTGAAAACGTTAGTTCAAGACGTTTTTTATTTATTTAATTGTTGTCATATACAAATTTTTAGACCATTTGACATGCACTTATATAATTAGATACTTAGGCACAAAATATCGGAACTTGAAGTAAACAAGTCCCGACAAAGCGGAACCAGACTGATTCGTGTAGAAAAACAAGAGAGTTCAGCAACAAAACCACTCGAACAATGATACGTGCAAACGGTTTTCACAAACGATTAATTTATAGTTTGCTCGTGTGCGAATTTCTTGATTGGAAAACCAAATTTCACTAAAAGGATGACCGGTATAAAGGTAAAAATAAGGTTAATTGATTATGTTCCTGGTTTCAAACAGTTTTTGTAATTGTCGAGTTATCACACTTTTTGATCTGTTTAAAAAAACAGTATTTTCGTCATGAGCCTTAATTTATTTTATTGTTAACCTTCTTATATGGGACTACAACGGGATATTTTTAAAAATGTAGCTAGTTTTAATAGGATTTTTTTAACCAATACAATGTCTGTTACAACTGATCATTATTGAGCATTGACTGCTTGAACGATGTAAAACGTAACTGGTTGATAGAAGGTAATTTTGACACAAACTCGGTTTACACTAGTCCTTCAATCTTAGGTTTGATTTTCGCACACTTAGATTAGTTACAATTAAACAAGACACTTTTCAAATACTTTCTTGTTATTGTTGATCTTTTTGTTCCATTGACCAGTAGATAAGATCAATCTGGCCATGAGATTCGTTTCAACTGTTTACTGACTAGAAGAAGGAGTAATTTTAACATGAAATGATTTAAAGTTGATTTTTAAATTCTTTGTTTACTATTTCAAATGCCTGATGAGGATTTTATACATAAAATTTAGTTACGTAAGTTTTTAAATTTTATTTCAGTCTTACTGATTATTAGTCAATTATAAATCAATTACTTCTCTACATGACTCTCTTCTTACGAAGTTCCCTTTTCTAATTAGTAAACAGTTAACGAGCGAGTATTAGCGATTTTTTTTTTTTCATCAATGTGTAATCATGCTATTTAGTACTATTGTAATTACAAATATTAATATAATTGAATTATAATGTATAAATCTTAGAAAATAGTTTGGACTTAAACAGTAAGGTCCGATACAAAGTGAATTGTATAAAGCATTTCGACCTCATAAATTATGGCGCATTTTATTCTTTTTTATTCGTTGATACGTTTGTAGCAAAAAGGCCAACGCTTATTGTCAGTTAATACCTTGATTCCCGTGAATATCATACATGAAATAAAAATCAATGATATCTATACCGATGTCTTACAAAATTTTAGCAGAATTTTCATTTCAACTACTAAAGTTGAATGTTACGCATATCACGTCTTGTAAAATAATAAAAGTTCCACCGTACATTAATTAATTTTTTATTAAGGAGAAACAAAATATGATGCTTATGCTACTATAAATTTTATAATTGAGTGATTTTTCACACTGACTGGATGGAATAATCACAAGCAAGTAATATTTTTATTTCACTCAACAAATATTTACATTTTTTTTGTACTTGTACACAAATATTTTTATAAAAGATCGATTGTTACGTAACATGAATCTTTTTATTCGTTTTGTAATTGGCTGAAAGTAATCACGTAGCTCGTTTGAAATCGCGAGATTCAAAACATTTGTATGAAATATAAATTCAAACATTAATTTATGGTCATCGCAATGGAATGTAATTAGTCTTTCCTCTTATCAAAATAACGGGACAGAAGTTTTGTGCGAGATATCGATATAAAATGAGGGGTATTTTTTTTAAATACATTGGAATACAACAACGTTTTCCACTTTTCCGTAATTATATTATATCAAAATTAAAAATAATCCAAAAATGTTTATCAATATCCATTAATATATTACAATTTCATAGATAAAATGGACCTACACACGGTTAAGTACAAAATTTACGTATATAAACGAAAAACTAACTTTTATTGGGTTACAACAAAAACCTATTAAACGTATACATGAATATCAAAAGTGACAATGGCAATGACGATAATAATAACAAAAACACGCGAATGGCGTGTAAATAATCAATTGAATGTAATTATAAAAACACAACGCGTGTAGCGTGCGACATCATGTCAATGTACAATTAGAAGCCATTTGTTCATTGAAACGTGTTAAGTAAACTAATTCTATGTGGGGACACTGTTGTGTGCATATTTTTCGATGACATCACGCGGAAATTTTTTAACCATCTACATTATATTCGCAGAATGAGCCAGCGAGTGAGCCTGTGGTTGCCCAAGACGGAGGATCATTATCACTGATGTCATCAATAAATCGGCGAGTCGAAAGTGGTTTGCTCTGGTATACATATACGCAGCAGTGGACGAGTGTGTGAGAATGCGTCTGATAATTTTAATATTTTCTGCAAAACAAAAATAGACGATCAAATAACATTTTTATTCGCAACGATCCGAAAAACTAACTTTAGCGTGCTCCATTTGTCACGGCAAAATATATATATATATATTTACTATACATATATCATACATGCATGAAGAAACGAGCGCTGAATACTCAATCGCTTATGCTACAGGTACACCATTAATTTACGTAACATCGAAAATAAATTCCCGTATGTCGACCAGAATGGCGTATGCAATCGATAATTGTTTCATGAAATATAATATTTTGTTAACGTATAAATGCTCAAATACACGAATATATTTTTCAAAGCGCATACACCCAAACACGTATATATACCACTTACTTACAACCTTGCATGCACATGAAGCGAAGCATAGCATATAAAAAATGTCGTTGGTCAATATATGTACGTAACGAACAAACGCGTTTTCATACAGATACAGATATAATGTAACGATCAATGCTGTTCTTGTACATCTTATGCAGCGCTTACGTGGCCCAGGTAAGGCTATAAATGTAGGCGCGTATATATTATACTCCGTACGCGTTCCGAGAGGGCATCAGATTATACTTACGTGGGAGAATGAACGTGATAAATATTTTTCGTACCTTTTTTGAAGTCTTGTGATGTTGGCGATAACAATGGGGGTTATATATATATATTACATGACCACTGTTGCAGGCACTGAGGGTATACGCGCACACATTGGCAGTCAGTAAGAAAAAAAAAAAAAAAAAAAAAAAAAAAAAAAAAAAAAAAAAAGTTGACTCCGAGTCCCCGATGGAGCTCATCGGTAGTCGTTTGTCACGGGTTTCTTCAAATTGTTGATGAACTTGTCGGCCTCGTTGGACAACTTGTCGATGAAGCCCGAGATCGGCCTCTCGTAGTCGTGGATGTGGAAGAACCGCAGTATCTTGTGCCGAGTCTCGTGGAAATGTTCATCCGCCCCGCATGTGTCGTCCTTGTTGCAGACGAGCATGAGCACGAGCACGGTTATGAACAGGATGGTCAGGATGCTGAAGAAGGTCTCCCAGAAGCAGCGACACGAGCACATCGCGATTATCGCAGATAACCACACCGCTTAATCAATGGAACTTTTAACGAGAGTCGTGGGTTCAAAGACACACTTGTTCTTCGGCCAGGGGTTAAGTTATTGGCTCTTTATGGGCACTCTGGTTACGAGCTGACGTGCGTGTGGCGAACGCTGGGTTACACTACGCTTCTTGCTATCCCACAATTACCAACACGGTGCAAGGCGCACGTATACATATAAGTACACCTTACGCCGCTCTCTTGCTCGATCGTGGAGTGGTTCAAGGGTATATTTCAACGGGACGCCGGTGGTTACCGTTGGAGGGCAGAGGAGGGGGGGGAGGATGTGGCTACTGCGGCTCGAGCTTCCTGGCGTCGCGGAGGGGTTTCCACGCGACGGCATGAAAATGAACCTTGCGATGCGTGAGCTGTTGCTTTACTCCGGCATTCGTTGTGTGCAAAATATTTCTTTGGGCGCTGCTTTGACTCGGTGGTGGGGGCGTGGGGCAGAGGAAATGAATACATACATGTTTTCCAAACTATATAAACGTGTTATGTGACGCATTTTCCCGAATGTTAAAATAAACTTGACTCAATTCTTCCGCACGTATATTATGTGCTTGTGTGTGATGTACGAGCGGGGAATGCTCGTATAGCTGGCTTGGTCGGCTTCAAGTATATGTAATATACGACTGGTCGAGCCGTACGAACACGCGTTAGTCCCAGTTGGGTGGATACGAAAATTTTTCAAAGTGTGTTTTCCAATGCTTAACTCCTCTGCACAAACAGGTATTTCCCCCAAGGAAATGCTTTTTCCCGCACCACTGTCTCGTAGATTCTTGTCCTTGAATTCGTAACGGAAAAAAGACGAAACAAAATAAGACGTGGGAAGGGGTAAGTATCGGAACAGGGGAGAGATGCAACAGTGTGTGTACACACAGAGGTGTTGGACGTATACAGAAAATCTCGAGAAAATACACGTAGAATGTGTGCATATATTTATATTTCAAGTATTTTTACTGTTCTGGATGTTTTCGCGTAGATTGCGCACGTCGGGTTCCAACACTTATCCTTCGGATTTTTTTTCAATTCTATATTAGTTTTAATGTCGAGCAGTGTGTCGTCGAACAGCGTTGAAAAAGCAACTTAAATAATGTTTAACGGTTTAACAAATAAGGTTTTATTTTACTCGCTTTTTTCACATCCACCGTTTTAAACTTGCTTCAAAGAAAACGCACAACTTGCGACAATTTTAACCACAACAACAAACTTTGGTAAATCAACGAGTGATATGAAATTCGATAAAAAATTGACTACACCAAAGGTCGTAACAGAGCGTCGATAATATTTCAAGCCTTCAAAAGAGATTTTTTAGTCCACAGAGTCGAAAAGATCCATTATCGCGAAAAATCCCTGATCGGCATTCATTGCACCCCAAGACGATGGTTTTCTCCCCCAGCTGCAACCCACCTCGTCAGCATTTAATGAAATGATTCTCGCTTCGGTCCAAATTACGCAAATAAAAAGGCGAAGATGGGAAAAAATCGAAGCCACTTCCACTATCCGCTGACGCGCTTGGCCTGCAGGGATGTACATTATCCTGTTCTCTCGGGCATCGACATATATATTTACTTAATTTATCCACATCGCGAGTGCCGGGAATTCGCATTGCTGCCCTGTATGTATAATGTACACCGTTGCAAAAGGTGGGGAAAAAGAATGAAGACGAGGAGAAAATCAGTGTAGGCAGAGACAGAGAGGAGATGGCGTTCGGAAAAATGCAAATCAGAGAGAGAGAGAGAGAAGAGGGCAGCATCGATATGAATAATACAACTAAATTGAAATCAGGGAGGGGGGGGGTGGACATTATAATGCAGCTGGATCGCCAGTTTCTGATGTAATGGACGATAAATGCACGAAAGAGTATATTTTTCGCTGAATTTATGAATTTCATTGCGCAACCGCTCGTCGGGACAGCCTTATATTTTCACTGCTGTACAAAATGTCTCGCAATACTTACATTCAATCTCTTTTCTTTGTTTTTTTTTTTTGATAATAATGAATTTAGCATCACGCGTACTCCACTTTCGGCATTTTCACGAGATTAAACTGAAACTTGGTACATAACACCATCTGCACACCAAAATTGTATAGTTCGCGTTAGGAAAAGTTAAAAAATTCCAGGAATATAAGCTCTGACGGAGAAAAAAAAATGTTTGTCACTTGGCAAATTGGAACTTTATACAAGATCAAATGAATCCGAGATTAAAATAATTTCAAAATGCCAAGCGTGAGAAGTTAAAACAATCATACCAAAGAGGCAGAAGTGGATGAGGAACCGCATAAATTGCACCGAGCAAAACTGGAGCACCAGAGAAATTAATACAGTGTGGCGGACTAAACTCTTTCTCTTCCTCATTTAGCTTTAAACTAGCGCGTCTAGCTCCAGATGAACTTCCCGGCGAGTTTTATTAGACAAAAGCTCGTAAAAGCTCCGAGAGGCCAGTGGCCATGCGCTGCTCGGACATTTATTAAGTAGAAGAGGAGTTGGTGCGGCGCATCGCACGGGCTAAGGATTTATTTGGGGGATGCTGTCGGAAAGAGGCGAAGTAATTGACGCCCAAATCAAATTAGAGGATAGACAAAAAGATAGATAAAACCAAAGAGACGAAAAGGGCAGTTGAGTTGTAAAAAATGGTGTGAGTGAAAGACGAAGGTGACAAATCCAACAAGAATAATTAAATTTGCTTTTTTGCTATTTTCTCGATCTAAGAGATGCAGAGATGCCTATTGCACGAAAAAAGGAAAGGGAGACAGAAGGAGTATAATATATTTGAGTCAAATAAGGGGGTGCGATAAATCCATCGGCAGGAAATAAGCTTGCCAGTCGGCGATTTCCTCTCTTTACACCGACAGCCCAATTTTTTTTTTTTCTCTTTTCCGAGTTCGAATTCATTGGGACTCTCCCACCATCCTTTAGTCTTCCCCTTCTCGTTTATTTCACTATTTAAAGTAACATGGAGAAATCTGAGTTGCGCTTTTCTTGACATGCGAGCCAAAGGACTTTTTGAATATAGGAATCATTTCTGATTTGTTTTCCCAAGTTGGAAGCAATTTTTTTTATTTATTTTGAGTAATTAAATTTACGTTAACACTTTTCGTTTACAAAAGTTATTAAACTTTACAAAACCACGTTGGTCCGTCACAGATTGATGCCCATCGGCACAACGGGATCTGGAAAGAAAGCCTTCCTTTTTTTAGTTACATATTTATTTATTTATTTATTTATTTATTTATTTATTTATTTATTGAAACAAGGTGTAAGGGTTATCTTATTAGACTTACCGATTTTATTGAATTATCACAATAATTATTTATTATTTACTGAAACTGCGATTTAGTAATTGTAAGGATAGTTTAATGAAATTGAAAGAATTTTGAAAACGTTAGTTCAAGACGTTTTTTATTTATTTAATTGTTGTCATATACAAATTTTTAGACCATTTGACATGCACTTATATAATTAGATACTTAGGCACAAAATATCGGAACTTGAAGTAAACAAGTCCCGACAAAGCGGAACCAGACTGATTCGTGTAGAAAAACAAGAGAGTTCAGCAACAAAACCACTCGAACAATGATACGTGCAAACGGTTTTCACAAACGATTAATTTATAGTTTGCTCGTGTGCGAATTTCTTGATTGGAAAACCAAATTTCACTAAAAGGATGACCGGTATAAAGGTAAAAATAAGGTTAATTGATTATGTTCCTGGTTTCAAACAGTTTTTGTAATTGTCGAGTTATCACACTTTTTGATCTGTTTAAAAAAACAGTATTTTCGTCATGAGCCTTAATTTATTTTATTGTTAACCTTCTTATATGGGACTACAACGGGATATTTTTAAAAATGTAGCTAGTTTTAATAGGATTTTTTTAACCAATACAATGTCTGTTACAACTGATCATTATTGAGCATTGACTGCTTGAACGATGTAAAACGTAACTGGTTGATAGAAGGTAATTTTGACACAAACTCGGTTTACACTAGTCCTTCAATCTTAGGTTTGATTTTCGCACACTTAGATTAGTTACAATTAAACAAGACACTTTTCAAATACTTTCTTGTTATTGTTGATCTTTTTGTTCCATTGACCAGTAGATAAGATCAATCTGGCCATGAGATTCGTTTCAACTGTTTACTGACTAGAAGAAGGAGTAATTTTAACATGAAATGATTTAAAGTTGATTTTTAAATTCTTTGTTTACTATTTCAAATGCCTGATGAGGATTTTATACATAAAATTTAGTTACGTAAGTTTTTAAATTTTATTTCAGTCTTACTGATTATTAGTCAATTATAAATCAATTACTTCTCTACATGACTCTCTTCTTACGAAGTTCCCTTTTCTAATTAGTAAACAGTTAACGAGCGAGTATTAGCGATTTTTTTTTTTTCATCAATGTGTAATCATGCTATTTAGTACTATTGTAATTACAAATATTAATATAATTGAATTATAATGTATAAATCTTAGAAAATAGTTTGGACTTAAACAGTAAGGTCCGATACAAAGTGAATTGTATAAAGCATTTCGACCTCATAAATTATGGCGCATTTTATTCTTTTTTATTCGTTGATACGTTTGTAGCAAAAAGGCCAACGCTTATTGTCAGTTAATACCTTGATTCCCGTGAATATCATACATGAAATAAAAATCAATGATATCTATACCGATGTCTTACAAAATTTTAGCAGAATTTTCATTTCAACTACTAAAGTTGAATGTTACGCATATCACGTCTTGTAAAATAATAAAAGTTCCACCGTACATTAATTAATTTTTTATTAAGGAGAAACAAAATATGATGCTTATGCTACTATAAAAATTATATACGTTATGTACATG